TTACATTGTGAAAATAAAATCCAAAAAAAGTTAATATTTGTAGTAACAGGAGTTGACAGACTGCCGTAGGGTGTGAAATTTCTATATCTTTTTCAAAGACCTATAATTTTCAAAACACATACATAACATTTTTTTAAATATTTTTCTGATAGCTGTTATGACTTTGCCTATCACCCGGTTTCGGCTTGACGTCGACTTCTGGGACACCCTGTATATATATATATATATATATATATATATATTTCATGTAAATGTGGCCTCGTCTGTACACCAAATTAATTTCGGAAAATGCAACTCTTCTACGGTGATCTTCAGGTTGTAACGCTTGTACCCGTTGATAATGATAAGGATAATACTGTTCTTGTCATATTGTCTTCCACACTCTATTATGAGTCTTCGACTATTCCTAAAATGTCATCCTCAATGTGTAGCATTTCACGTTGAGCAGGTCTTCCAGCGTGACCTCTTCGTTGTTCTTTTAAATATCCTGTGTCACGAAGTCTAATAACTCAATTTACAGTACTAGTAGTATTTTGCAGTGTGCTGGCGATGTGCGAAGCAGTTGACTGCCAAATACTCCTATAGGATTTAGAAGTCAATAGATGGAAATGTATGGATAATATTTTATTTACAGGTATAGAAGGCTACCGAAGAACTAATAGCAATAACAAATACGGGAATGTCATGTGTCGTTCGCGAGCGAGTCGTTCAAAATGAACGACTCATCTATGTGAGCGATGATTCAACGACTCTCTTGTTACATATGACTCGTTCAATTATGCAAAGCGTGTCTACACGTCTGCAGTTTCCAGCCACCGAACTGAACTGAACTGCGAACTGACAACAGACTCAATCTAGGGAACCAGGTTGTTTTGTTTTGAGATCTCATTTAATTATACGTTGAAATGATGGGATTTGAGAGCAGAAATTGCATTTTGATTCAGAATTCGGTAATTCCTCAAAACCGAACCACATATCCCTTCTTTTTTCGGAAGAATGTATACATTCGTTACATTCAATTTCACCCAAAAATATTAATACTTAAATAAATGCAATAACATCGGCAACCCTAACCCTTCATTTCATTTTCATAGTATGATGATTCTGGCTCAGTGAGTCGTTTCTATAGGCGTAAGCAATACTCTCGTCAGGTTCGAGGCCGGACCGTAATTCTATCGTTCAAATGAACGACTCTGAACGAACGACTCACTGAAGAGAGATGAACGAAATGAGCGAGTTCAGAGAAAAGAGTCGTATGTCTCAGGCCTAGTGGCTACTCATACGAACGAATTTTTACTCAACGATAACGTTCGCGATAAGCAGAAATCTGCATTTTAATAGTTATATTTTTAGTTCCGCTACCTTCCTATAGATGGCGCCATCATAGCTTCGTATTTAGTTGGATTTTTTGGGTATAGTATTTTAAGAGTTTTATGTTACAGTTTTTATCATTTGTCTAGTTAATAATGCCCAGAATTACCTTAAAATCATTTGAGAAAAGTATATGGACGAATATAATTTTTTTTCGGCTACTCTCTAATAGATGGCGCTGCATATCGGTAGCCACCTCAGCCCACCGTTTTGAATGACTACCTTGGTCTGCCGCTCAGTAAGTCTCAATACATGTAAGGAAGAGGATGCTTTGTTTTTTAACAAAGCCAAATCAATACGTAATTCTAGATATAAATCAAAAAATGGGGAGATTAACTGCTATCACGGAAATTTAAGTTTCTTGATTTTGAAGATGCGTTGCCATAGACCCGTCCCGAACCCCGACCAACCGTCCCAAAAGGATCCATTTGACTAGTTAAATTGTGTGTGTCCTGTGATAACACTTTACAAAGAACCTCCATCTAAGGGATGGTAGCCCAACTGAACGATTTGTTTTTTTTTGTCTAGTTGAGAATGCACAGAATTAGCTTAAAATCATTTAAGACGTATATGGATGAATATATTTTTTATTTGGCTCCCCTCCAATAGATGGCGCTGCATATTGGTAGGCGCCAAAAACTCCACCGTTTTGAATGACTACCTTGAGCTGCTCGAATCCGTTTAACGCCTACAGTCGAGTAAGTTCACAAACATTCCAGGCCGCGCCTCGCAATGTGATCAAAATTAAATTGTGAATTTCAAACCAACCAAAATTATTTCAGTATACAAAACCTATCATTTTTTGGAGTTACAAAATTATTCGAGTAGTCAAAGCAATAATACTTAAGCTATTTCAAATGATTTGGTTCTTTTCTTTGCTCTATTTCGTCCTTCCTTTCTTTCCCTTTTCCCCTTAAATATGTTTGGTATCTGGGTGGCCAGACCTAACAGACCGACGAAACTTTTAACTAAGAGCGAAGGTCCACCGGACCCGCTCTGACCAACGACGAATAGGGTAGTATGTATCCCTTCAACGCATCTTCAAAGATCAAGAAACAAATTTACGTGAGGGGGGGGGGGGTTAAAATCCGCCAGAAGTCGGCTAGACAGCGAAGCTTATCACCGCGTCGCCTAGCAACGCTATCGCGCGAATCTGCCGCGTTGTAAATATCTAAATATGTTACACCAATTCCTTGAATTGAGATCCGTGTCGAAAATATGCGTTAGTTTATTCTCTACGCCCAAATAATGGTTTTATTTTGAACGTAAACATGTTTGAATTGTGAATTCTGTCGAATCTGTTTATGATCGATTCCGGATCGGTCCTGATGGCTCTCCATTTTAGGTCGACATGAAAGGTTAGGATCGCCATTCTGCAACATTGCATAACATTGGTTCGCTTGGCAACACCGCAACTCTTACATTCCGAGGCAAGGTTTCCACCTTCATGATCATAGATGAGCGATTTTGGTCAGTACTCATCTAGCGCTGGTAGGGGAGCATCGTTCTGCTTCGGAAAGTAACAATAACTCAGAATGTGTTGATTTTATCACCATCGTCGGTGGAAATCAAAGATCATTCTAAAATAAATAATTCAACTAAAAATGGAAACAAAATATTAAAACAAATGTTCGAAAAGACCCTTCTTAGGTTAGACAGTAATCTAACCTATTGTAGAAGCTTGTGCGAATATTATCTTTTACGCCACCGTCGCTCTTCAGCCGGCTTCTATCTCTTTCTAACATGTATTCATTACTCACTTCTCGCGCTTCTCTCTGGTACACATTGATCTCAAGCCTTTAAACAAATTTGGTTTTCCCTGTATAGACTGGGTTATGTACAGTTTCCGATTTTAATAGGCAGATTATATGGGAAATGTTCTTAACTATAAAATTTATCGGATTCGGCATTTATGGATCCGATTTACCCATGAGATGAGTATTCTTCCATATTACAGACACACAAGGGTTTTCGAAAATCTTATAGGAAACCTCAAAATATTACAGGTTTTTCTAGGGGATTGAAAACAACGTTCAATTTTTGAATACCTCAATCAATCTTTATATGAGCACATGAAATTTCACCGCTTATGCAGGGTGTAAACGTTATGGTAGTCATTATCGAAATGGGTAATAGGTCAAAACAAGTCAAAAAGTTCATATGACCCATGGTCCAAAAGTCAATAAATTATTGTCTAAATGGCTTTATAGTTTACAACTTTAAGTGCTTTATATCGACTACAATCACCACAATCTTACTAATTTTTATAATCTAATCTAAATCGTTTTTGAATTGGGTAATTAACAAATAAATGGCATTAAGTTTTTCTAAGCCAAAATTTGTAATCAGTAAGTAAGTTTCATTAAATTGAATATTTAAAGCACACATGACAACAGCGCGTCGGTCATCATCACTCTTATCGAAGCAGCAAAAGATCGCAAACGGTAACAGTGGTTAGTATGTTGTTTTGTTTTTGTTCGCGTACGTCGTCGTCTTGATTTACAGAATTCAAATCTTCAGCTCAAATTTATCGCGACAGATTTCGACAACGGGTACACCCAAAACAGAAGGACATTTGTGCAAGTGTACCAAAGACTTCGAGATACAGGAAGTGTTCAGCTCACTAATATTCGCACTCGTGAAAGACATGTTACTGTAGAGCAGGAGGAACAAATTTTAAATATCGTGGAAATCAACGCAGATATCAGCATTCGGGAATTAGGCCGCCGCGTAGAACTATCGCATACCATAGTCCATAGAATTATACGGTAAAATTTGCTTTATCCCTACCATGTACAACGAGTGCAGGCCTTGTTACCAGAAGACTATCCTCGCAGACTAACAATCTGTCAGTGGTTTTTGCACAAAAACATTGAAAATCCTGATTTTTTTAAAAACATTCTAGCGTCGGACGAATGTACTTTTACGCGAGACGGGATATTAAATTTCCATAATACTCGCACGTGGGCCCAAGAAAATCCTCATACCATTCGTGAAGGTCGTAATGAAGCTTGTGTGGAAAGTGGAGGACGACATTTTGAACACCTTCTTTAAATACAAAAAACTGCAGTGTGGGTTTTAAAAAAAACAATGTATGTATCAAAATTGTGTTCCCTACTTATAAGTGGATTTTTTTAATATGTTCAATAAACTTTCACACACCAGGTGAAGCGCGGAGACAGTTAGTGGCAAGTCCGTTTTTTTTAATTGTTTGCATTTTACGAGTACATTATCATATAATGAAATAATACCTAAGAGCCAAAAATAACAAACTCGATCTTTATTTACACTGCGTTCCGTCGTAATTTGCGTCTGGCATTCCGGCGTTGTCAGATGTTATTTTACTTTAAAGTCGCTTTTCTCTAAAAAAATGCCGTTTTGACCCCCATGTTATATGAAAGTTGCTTCTTTGCTTCTTTTAACCTCCTCTATCACCCATTTAAATAATGACTATCATAACGTTTACACCCTGATCCGTTGCAAAGTTATTTTCCCTGGACTATATCCGTTAAACAAATCCGACAGTAACCGTTGAAGTGTTTGCCCAATATACCTATGAAGTTAATTTTACCAAACTATATTCGCGAAACATGTCCTTTAGAATAAGGTATAAGAAGGGAAACAAGAAGTGTCAAACATTCTTTCATTTATTCATCATAACCAGCAACAAATTCGCCTTATATTTTACAAGTGTATATCACTAAAACGAATAAAACAGTCGAAAAACCAGGAGAATAATATTCTTTGTATATGTCAAGTGATTCGAAATAGAAAAAAAAATCATATCAAAATGTATCTTGCTATATTCAATATTAGTCCTCGATGAAACTAAAGAAAAACAACGCCTAACCACTCAACATACTCCCAGTCCTTAAAATACATTTAATTCACGTAAACAGAATGTTAGAAAATATCTGGGAAATTAAAGGGCAAACTCAGCAATTGACGATATGAGAGAAAGTTTATATAATCATTCCGAGATTTTCGTATTTTGTTAAAAATAGTTGCCAGCTCGATTAGTATTTTCAATAACGATTAATAGATTGATGTACTGGTTAACAAAATAATTTTTATTTTGAAAGCAGTACATTCGAACGAGAAAATCCAGGAAGCAGTTTTTAAGTAGAATCTTAAGCAGTTTTTAGGTAAAAACAGACTGGCTTTAAGATATTGGAACAAAATGTGCATGTACCAAAACTCATCTACGTATTTTTGATATTTTAAATTGCTGAATATAGACCTTGAATTTTATTAAAAACATTCTGTAACAACCTGTATATTGTGGTAGTTCCTGATATTTCTTTATACTCGAATAGGAAATGCGTGACTGCATTTTTTTTCTATATTGAATCACATGTAAATTCATTTACTACTAGAAAAAAAATTCACAATAATACACTAGCTACAAAAAATAAATACTTTATACACTGTTAACTCCCTCCAAATGATTTTCCATGTACCATAATCCTCAGTATCCCTCGCACCATTATTATAATATGGAAGTCGATTTTCAATTGGTTTCAGATTGATTTCATACATGGCGAAGTCAGCTATCAAATATGCAGAAAAAATAGCGGATTTTTTCAAAAAATAGAAGTGATAACATTTACAGCGGAAACTAGTTTGCTAGAAGTAACCCAGCAAAAACGTCCCATAAACATTGTATCTCCTAAAATATGCCCATTACCAAGATACAAGTTATAGAAAATTTTAACGTCACCGATTCAAGCGCAGAACATGAATCGTTCAAATGACACTATGGTGAGATATGACTGGTCTCCTTAGGCTGCATGCAATTGTCAATATCGAACTTCAACTATAGCGTATTTTCAAAGTGGAATAGGATCTCTTAATATGGATTTTACCTTAAACATTCAAAACAATTTTTCTGTAGAAAGATCAGTTTGACAAAAATTTCTCTAGGGGATCAAAATTTCTAATTTTTGCTGGTGCAGTCTTGGACACGAACACTTTTGTATGTTTTGGCTAAGCTGTTAGTACCAAATACACAAAAATTTCAATAATAATTTCGAAAATATAAATAACACCCTTTTCGTGTTATTTTTTTTATATACTCTATGCTCTAGAAATATTGGCACTGACTTCTTGACCACCTTATAGTATCAAATTGAATGCAGCAAGATTGTCTGGTTGGCGAATCCGCCAATCCTTCGGGTTACTTCTCGCACTTCTGCTGATAGTGATTAGTAAAATTAAAAGGTCTGTAAATTAAGCGCGTTCGATCTGGCAACACTGGAGGCGCCGGGCTTGGAGGGGAGGCAGGGAACATGTGATCCGCATTTAGTACAAGTTTGAACTCGATTGAGTCATTTGGTTGTCCGTAGCGATTTTTTTGTGAAACAGTTTTTTCTATTGTGTTCTAAAAATGGGTATTTCAATTTCAAGCATTGGTGTGCTACCAGGTTTTGCTTCAGATTTGGTTACAGTGCAATGGAAACTCTTTCTAAGCAGGCCTACGGAGATAGCGTTTTGTCTAGAGCCCAGGTTTTTCGGTGGTTTAAGGCATTTTCAGAAACGACTGAAGATGAACCACGAAGCGGTGAAGATATCGACAGAATCCGGGATCTTGTGCGTTCAGATCGTCGGTTGATGATTGGTGAAGAGTTAAATTTTGACTCACACTACCCATGATCAGATCAAGAACAACTGGGTGTTGCATCGCGATAATGCTCCTTGTCACACACAGCAATGTTAATAAACGATTTTTTGGCCAGTAAAAACATTCCTGTGACTGCTCAGTCTCCTTATTCGCCTGTCTTAGTCCTTGTGACTTTTTTCTCTTCCCGAAGTTGAAAAATCACCTCAAGGGAACTCATTTTGGGGCAGTCAAGAACGTCCAAACGGCCGTAGCCGATCATCTAAAAGCTATTTCAGTATTGAAGTTCCAGCACTACTATGAGGAGTGGAAGAACCGTCTCCAGCACTGGGCTTCAGACGGAAGTCATTTTGAGGCTGGTAATATAAAATTTTAATTATCTTTGAATAAAGAATTAAAAAAAAGTCTCATCACTTAATTTTCGGACCTCATAGTGTTATTATTGCTTTAATATTTCATGAAACCGCATATTTTGCTGTGTGCACATACCATCTGTTATCTGCCATTTATGTAGCATCAGAAATTCGAATCAGCGAATTCGTCAAAATATGACTTTATTTTTGTTAAATGAAATCAACCGAAAATCATGTATTGAATATATATATGTAAATCTAGGTACTAAGATGGATACGATTATTTGAAGAATACTAGAAAATTACTTTTCGTTTTAAATGTGCAACTAACGTTTTTACATTTGCGTAACGAGAAAATGCATAAATATTAAGTGTATATACATAGTGAATCATATGGTATTTACATCTTTACCTGATCTTATCGGTCTAACAGCACCAAAAACCTAGGAGGTGACTCAAAGACTTTACTTTTGGGCTTAAGTATGTTATTTGGAACATTACTGGGTCTCCGTGCATTATAGAATTCGATCTGTCGTTTCCTACAATGTATAAAAATCGACACTGTTTCAGAAAAAATTGCAATAAACGGTTTACAGCGAAGTTATAATGACAAATCACGTCAATAGATATTAAAAAAATATTGCTGACTAACTTTTTTTATTAAACGTTAGAAAAATCAATTTTTCCGGTATATTCAAACAGTTCAGTCAGTCAAAATGAGACCTTACACGGATACTTTGCTGTAACTGCTAATATGTTATTACAATATCAGGAATCGTCGACTTAATTTATTTTCACTAGAAAATGGTAAATCTGAAATAATTGCCTTTGTGGTGCTTGACATCAATAAAAAAATTCACTGACGAATGTTCAACCGTTCCTGCAATATTATAATTGTTGCTATGTTTTTCAGAACAATGGACTATTTTGATGGGTTGTCTAGCGGCTTTGGTTCACTCAAATGGCGTCACATGAGCTTATTCTCTTAGTTTAATATTTTATATTCAATCCGACACGGATTCCCACTGTTGGATCAGCAAACCGAAAGCCTGATCAACAAGAAGCGCATTGGACAAAAAAACACAGTGCTTTTGTTAAAGGTCTCCCCACTTATTTTCAGAACCGGTCAAGCTGAAATTTGGGGTAACAAAACTGATGTATGAATGCATTTTGACGTAAAAGTGGCAGTTGAAAATTTCAAGATCGCGACATCTTAGAACATGTTATTCAATTGTAATGACAGGTCATGTTGAGGCTACAACAGTATCGGATAATATTACAGAGACTATGCTATTTGTCCATTCCAATTTTCTATACTTAAAATAATATTAATTTCTGTTAAGCAGTGTATTACCGGCGATCAAAAGAATTTAATTCACAACAGTTTATTTGTGTACCTAATGGTATTTTCATTTTAGGATTTTTTTGTATTGATAAAAAAATACCTGCGACAAAATAAAAGAGAGTCTCGTTTTGTGTTTAGTTTCACTGAGGTGGAGTTGGTCAAGTGTTGGATTGAAACAACAGAGAAAACTATTAGCAATGCGGAAAACATTATTCCATAGATTTCAAAGAAAAAGTTATAGAAGGCTTATAAATCTGGTCGCTTGCAAAAATTAATAAAATGGCAATTTAATGACAATAAACAAATGGTCTCAAGAACAATAAAAAATGTTCGACTCCGTGGAAGGGTTGTTTACCGTAAGAGATGTGGCCGAAAGATAAAAACAGTTGGACAGCAGAATTAAGCGTTTAAGTCAGAAGAACCCGCGACTGTTTGGAAATCAAATTCTGGCTCAGTTGGATGTTCCGGGAGTTTCATCTAGGACTGTTCAGCGGAGATTAGTGGAGGCGGAGCTCCCTGAAAGAAGACTATCTATCAAAAAAAAAAAATGTGATTGCAAGGATGATATTTGCAACACGTCACCGCCGCTGGACAGCTTAGGACTGGAACAAGGTTTTGTTTAGTGACGAGTCTAAGTTTGATATTTTTGGAAGTTCGTACATCGTCCAGCAAATAAAAGACTTGATCCAGAATATGTTTCTGGTACCGTTCCAACATGATAATGACACCAAACATACTGCCCAACTTGTGAAGGAATGGTTTGTGACAAATAAAATTCAAGTTTTAAAATGGCCACCGCAATCACCAGACTTAAACCCCATTGAAAATCTTTGGGAGATAATTGAGAAAAAGATTCAAGCTAAAAATATCAGCAATCGTGCTGTTATTTGAAGAGATTGAAAATGCTTGGAAATCAATGGATCCATCTGTAATTTCCGATATCATTGGGTCGATGTCAAAAAGTCATTGAGAACAAAGGGTACTGGACGAAGGATTAGTTTACTTTCATTAAAATAGGATACAAATGTATTTTAAGGATACGTCTTTCTAATTTTGACAAATAGAATTTTTTATATTTTCTCTCTTTGGAAACAACACTTATGAATTCATTTTGTATCATTTGAAACTACTTAATGACATAAATCTCTTAGATCAATTACAAAAACTCAAATTATTTCTGTATTCCAAAAAAGACATAACTAGTCTAGTCTCTCTAATTTTTCCCGATACTGTATACACGTAGGATATATATTCACTATCTTTCAAATTGGCGGATTAACGGACCATTGTTGCCAAAGTTGTATGTTTTTGTACAATGGTTCGAAAAACTCAACAACTGATCATCAAAACTTTTTTGGAAGGGTCTTTCTGGAAGTGCAATAACATATGGGACATTCAGTCTACAAAAATTTTGCAGTCTTTAAATAGAATGTTCCATATTCCGATAGATCATTTCAAGAGAAGAAAATTGATATAATATACTACAGCCACCGTGATAGCCGAAACACCCAGATAATGGAGTCCTATGAACATGAAAACCACAGGATAAGTTTAAGTTACATTAATATACTACAGCATCATGATGGCTGGTTCAATTATAGACGATTCAATGAACAAAAACGATCAGCTTCGATAGGTCGTCCCGTAGAGAAGTATTACATTAACTCCTATTCCATTAAAAGAAATCTCCACCTCACATCTGCCATTTTGGAATGTTCAACAGCTGATTTACGCTAAAATATAGTATTCAGCAACAATTTCATTACTTGCTAATTTGGCAGGACTGAATAGGAGGGACTTTTTTAAAAAGCACTGTAGGAAATTCTTAAAACTGCTTTCATGCGTACAATCAACCACTTACGGTGGAGTTTCATCTTTATTAGGAATCATTAGCACGGTATAATAGGTGAAGTGACAAATAAAAGCAGAGTAACTAATCTGTAAACTAAGTAACAAACTAATCTTTGACTCACCTCGAGCTGTTTTGTTTGTATTAACTTATACTAAAAAATCACTAGATTGAAAATCACACAAATTAGATAACTTAAAAATAGTATTTTTTTGATTTTTGCAAACGAATTTTGTCATCATTTTCGGTTTAACAAGAAAAAAACAAAGTGGTGCTATCTCAAAAACTGCATGTATCGTTTGAAGGTAATTTAAATGCTACAGCGTCAAAGGGTTGTCAAAAAACATTGATTCTGAAGAATTACGTGTATATACTAAGCTTATTACTTGACAGAAGAAATAAATCTTCTACGAAAATGATTTTTGACTGCCCTTTATATTAAAAAAACAATTTCGTCTCTAAGTCTATTCGTTCTCTTTCTATCCTTAAAAAAATACTGCAATATATAGGCATATCTCTTTAATCTGTACCGAGTATTTTTTGTAATTTTCACTATATGGCAAGCACGAATTTAAGTTTTACATTTTCTAGATTTACTTGTTTTTCTGTGCTTTCAAATATCACAATTCACAATCTCAAATAGAATACAGGTTCTTTCATACCTTATCTAAATACATCAACTGTTGACCGCTCAGTGTAGATCCACTGCTTTTTCCTACAGCTTAATTACATTTTTTGCTACTTTATACACTGTATTTCTAATAAATAACAGAAAAATCACAAAAAATACTCATATCTTCAACATCCCTAGTCCATAACAAACTAAGGTCCACCCATTTTCAATATAGGTGCACCCAGTATTAATATAACCCAGCATATTCCTTCATTGAATTTTTATTGTAAAACTTGACGGTAGATTTTGGTAGTACTTTTGGCGAGCTGTTCACGTTATCTAAATCGGACCTTGTGGTACCTAGTTACTGTTGACTCTCTTAAAAACAAGTCCTTTTTCTACCTTACCGAGCCCAATATCCCACCCTTGTATCTTTTTATGCGGTGGATACGACCTTAAGTGGGTTATTGACCTCATAGTAGTTTCTTAAAACAACCCCCCTTTTCTACCAAACAACAACGAACTAAGCGTACCCAAAGCCGTGTTCTGTTGGGTTTTTTCGGGCGTGGGTACAACTTTTGGCGGGCCATTAACTGTACCCAAATCGGGCCTTGTGGTACCACCTTGCTGTTGACGACGTTGTTTCCTCTGGGCCAGTTGTTCCAGTCGTTTGTTGAGGGCACCGCTGCCTGGAGTACCCGGTACGCCCATGGAGGTAGGCGGTGAAGGTTGGCGAGTTTTGGAAGGTGCTGAAAATAATATAACAAATCTATTTTTCTCTTACGCATATGAAATCTAAATAAAATTATGAAGAGGACATATTAAAGCTAACGTTTGCAGGAAATTCATCGGAATTGTCTGATTTGCTGCGCTAAATAAACCAGGGAAAACATTTCTTAACAAAACAGTATTAGCACATATAACTGACTGATTTAAATTGCGCGCCATTTTTGATACACGAATTTCAGTAGGTGGCGCCGTAGTAGTTTAAAGAACATGTGTCCAATTCATCATGGAGCGCTACACGATCCCACAACGCGTCCGTATTGTTAAAACGTTTTACTTAAATAATGAGTCGATTGTTGCAACGATTTGGAAGCTACGACAAGATTTCGCACGAAATAATGTGCCCAGTATCTACACCATTCGACAGTTGGTCCGGAAATTTGAACAAACAGGTGAAGATAAAGACTTGCGAAGAGGTCGGGCAGTGTTCGAACTTTTCGTACTCCGGAAAATATCGAGAGATTTCGTGAAAGTGTAGTGGAGCGCCCTGAGACGTCTACCAATCATCGTTCTCAAGAACTGGGTATTCGTCGCACGTCATTATGCAGTATATTAAAAAAAATTGCAATTGCGGCGACACAAAATTCAGTTAACCCAAGAACTACAGCCTAGTGACCATGAAACTCACCGAATAGTCATGCAATACTGCAGCTTAATACCCAAAATATCGATTTTTACCGACAATTGATAATGAGCGATGAAGCCCACTTCGATATGAACGCATTTGTTAATAAGCAGAATTGTCGTATCCGGGCATTAGAGAACCCTCTGGTCATCCATCAACGACCTATACATCCTCGTCGAGTCACAGTTTGGTGCGGTGTTTGGTATGAAGGTCACTGGACCTTACTTCTTTAAAGACGCTGCAGGTAGTTTTCTTACTGTCACTGGCGAGCGCTACCGTCCGAAACATGTGGTTCCAGCAGGACGGAGCAACTTGTCAGACAGCTAGGGAAACAATGAATCTTTTGCGAACAATATTTCCGGGACGTTTAATTTAATTTGGTGATGTCAACTGGCCATCAAGGTCACTGGATTTGATGGCTCCTGAATATTTTTATGGGGATTTTTGGAAAATAGGGTTTATACCAACAAACCAAATACTGTAGAGCAGCTGAAGAACAATATTACGGAAGCGATTGAAAATATTCTGAATGCTACATTTTTACAAACGCAGAAAAGACGTTGTGTATTCTCAAGCAAATGAACACAAAACTGGTACAATGAATGACTGAATCAGGCAAATGCTGCAACGAAGTTAATGTGGTTGTTACGGTGTTTGACTGAAATTGAGCAGTCATTACAGAGAATAACTGAAATGCTTAGTCAAACGTTTCAGCGTTTGACGCCAACATAAGCATATTTACCGTAGAAAAGTTGGAAAAAATTTTGTGAAAAATCGGGCGCCGTCTTTCACAGTATAATGACACGAACGAAAAAGAGAGGTAGGAAGTTGAAAGATCAAAAAGGCACTTCAAAATCTATAAAGACATTCACTATTCAGAACCTCACTAAAATCCAAATAAAACCGCCCTACTCCTAAACCTATTTCAGGATCACACTACATTTTTGTAAACAATGTCGATTCTTTACCTTCTGAAGATGCTGCTGACGATGCTTCCTCCTCCAACTTTTGTCCGATCAACGAAACATTCTCCATACTATGACTGGGCAGCAAACAAGTCAATTGGGCCATTGGACTTGTCAATGCAGGTCTTGCATACATGCTTGCTGAAGGATTTGCCATTAGGTTTTGGATGCCGATTCTTTCGATTCTTGTCACCAATGTCTGTTTGAGAAGAGAAAACGGGTCAATATTGAAGCCGAGTGCGATCCACGTACAATCCAATTTCGTTATTACTAGGTGTGTTACCTGTGGTACTTCGACCGGCGGCGGAGGTCTGAGAGAAACCTTACTGTCTGTCGCGCTGGTAGCGCCTCAAGTTCTCGCACTACTACTGGCTAGTAAGGATAGGCGAATAGATGGAGTGCCCTTGTTTGTATTGAGGCTGCGCAAGTGAGGTTTAAATGGGAATGTAATTATAAAGGGTCATAGCGTTTAGTTAGCCGTAAAGATTTACCTCCCCACGCCTTTTAAGTACTTGTTTGATAACCATATTCAATCATCTAATAGTGTACCAGGCATCTCAGACAACTATTAGTGCCCCATTTTCCAGAAAAAGATATTGGGAATTTGGAAATGTTCAAATCCTAAAAGGTACTTTAGATTATCGGTAATGCTAGCTTAAAGGTAATTTAACGTAAAAGAGAGTATATGCAATATGTCCGTTAAGCAAAATCCAAGAAAATAAAATCTAGAAAGGGAATTAAACCGAGAGCTCCTGCAAAATCACCTTGCCCTAAAAATTAGGCAATCTATCATTATCAGTAAAATATACACGTGTTCCTTAATGACGTACTAATATTCAAAACGGTTATTCTTGAACCCATTTTAAGAAAAAAAATCGTATGAACGTATGTCCTAAACATAAACGATTTCCACACAGCAGTCACCGATTTGAACCTCAGGTAAAACAATTTTATTTTTTTTATCGATAACCATGCGTCAGACGAAAGAAAATCAGAAATAAATGAAGATACTTTTTGCCTTTGGCTGAAGTTGCAAACCTTTTGTCGACATATACAAAAACATCCTTCGTGTTGCGAGATTCTTAACTTCCTGATCACTTCGGGGCGTTGTTAAAAAAATTAAAATTTTAGAAATCGAGTACTGCTCATATGTAACTCATCGTGGATATACTTTTGTCTCATCTGAACGTACCAATTTTACCACATTATTATTGATACTATATTAAACTTGTCGTAGACGATTCGTTATCAGTGAAAATAAAAGGCGGTTTATTTATATCGGCAGAAATACTAATAGCAGTGAGGTCAAAGGTCAAAAAATCTACTAGCACTAACTGTATTGCATTAACAATTGTAATTTAGTATTAATCATTTATGGATCCAAAGGTAGTATAAATGAAAGCCAGATATAAATAAAACACCTTTATTATGAATCAATCTACAAACTCAAACAAGCGTTATTAAAAGTAAGAAAAAACTACTACAGAAACAGGCACAAAAAATTACATGGAAAACTAAAAACAATGTTCAACAATAAGTATTAAACAATGTGGATCGAATTTAGATACCCATGATACAGTAATTTGTAAAACTAAAAATTTGATATGTGTCTATGTTGGGTTATTTCCAAATCATACTGTCTCCAATGTTTCTTTTAACAACAATATTTTATGCTACTGCCACGTCAAGTCTTTCGGCAGCACATTTAAAATAAAAAAGCTAATGTAATAAGACCACAGCCCAAATATTTAACCTAAAATTACATTATGATACCACAGCCAATTAGTTTTTAACCCTATATTCATTTTGACAACCCCACACTTAAATTATATATATATATATATATATATTTATATATATATATATATATATATATATATATATTACACCCTCAAACTGTATCAAGGTTTTATTAAAAGCAACAAAAAACTTCTACGGAAACAGGCACAAAAAATTAAATGAAAAAATAAAAACAATGTTCAACGATAAGCATACGATAGCATTAAACAATGTTCAACGATAAGCATACGATAGCATTAAACAATGTGGAACGAATTTAGAAACCCATGATACGGTAATTAGTAAAACTAAACTGACAGAATCAATTTGATATGTCTACAGTATATTCAGATAAGAGATAGACCGGACATAAACAAGACACGTGATCATCGAACGCTGTAACATTCGGCAGGGACGTATTAAGAGTCACGCAGTACATATTTTAGATAGTAGATGATGCTTTGCGTAACTTGTAGTAAATTAGCACAATTCGATGTGTATACGATTGGTGATGGAATAGGATCATGTGGGGGTGGGTAAGAAATATATATGATGTAAATATACATAAGGGTTTCAAATTTTCGCTTCGATTTCCAGCTTCGGATGCCGTCTGATGTTTGGTGAAATACAGCCGAATAATCTTAAATGGCGTTTACATTAGCCTATAATTATAAAAAGGTATAACAATAACAACGACAAACTCAACAACTTAATAAGATAACAAACGAAACGTCCAAAGAAATATCAACTTGCAATGATGCACACGACATACGTAACACGTCTGAAACCTGAATGTGACTCTGCCTTGATACGACTGCTCTGCCGCTCGGCATAGGCATTTAATTGCGAATTGACAATGAGGGCTCCTGTTTTACGTCGAGACGGCGGCGTTAGCGTGAAAATCACCCGAACCTTTTGTTTACATCCGGTCTATCTCTTATCTGAATATACTGTATGTTAGGTTATTCTAAATCGTACTGTCTGCCGTAAAAATACCCCAATGTTTCTTTGAATAACAAAATATTTGTGCTACTGCCACGTCAAGTCTATTGGCAGCACATTTAAAATAAAAAACTAATGTAATAAATCCACAGCCCAAATAGTTAACCTAAAATTATATTATGATACCACAGCCATTTACTTTTAATCCTATATCCATTTTGACAACCCCATACTTAAATTATTACCTAATATTATACCTTCAAACTTTATCAAGGTTTTTATGAAAGGAAGTTTGAATTTATTCTTTCCACATCATTTCGAAAGCTAACACGCCAGCCATAAGTGCCATTACCTCTCTCTTATCTCTTTGCTGCCTCTTTTTCTTAACGCCACCCCCCGTGGAAGCACCGCCCATTAGGAACCTCGGCACGGAACCTAGCAACCTCCTTAGGCTTAGTTCACCCTCTTCTTCTGGCTCTGGGGAACCCGACCTAAAAATAAGATGAAATTTAGTTATATATTGTAATCTAACATTGAATAAATAAATAAATACTACGCATTTTTAAAGCCATATAATCTCGGTTATCCAAGCTCAAAACAAATACAGATTACCATTTTCTGGGATAACTTCTAGTTCTACTGCAACACCGGGCCCGCTTATCTTTTACTTCCCACGCCACTGGTGAGAAGGCATTGTAATCGCAAAATAAAATGGTATATATAGTCCGTCAGAAAGAACGCATGTTTTTCGAATGGGTACTACATCGAGTGGGCTGGTCCCGTGTCGGTGGGGAAGGGCGTGTTGGATAGTGGGAGAAGTGCCGTTTCAGTTGGCAAGATGGTTTGGAACGTTGAGCACCATGTGTTCACTGTACGTTGGTACTTTCAAAATGGCGAGACTGTCGTTCGAACGCAACGTGAGTTTCGCGTTCACTTTCGTGTTCCACGTCGTGGGACAGTTCCAGACCGTAACACCATTTTGAGATGGGTGGAAGCATTCAACACAGCAGGTAATGTGATGAAGAAAAAACCGCCAGGGCGAAACCGTGCTGTTAGAACCCCGATAACGTAGACAGAGTGAGAGTTGACACGCTGCAAAGCCCGAATCGTTCCGTCCGTTTGCAAACTTCGACGTCGACGTGTAGGTCTCAGAACAGTGTGGTTCCAACAAGACGGGGCAACATATCACACAGCTCGCACTTCGGCAAAAATTCCCAGGACGCCTCATTTCAGGTCATGGCGATATTCCATGGCCCCCTCGCTCCCCGGACCTGTCAACGTGTGATTTTTTTTATGGGGCTGCCTGAAATCAAAAGTTTACCAAAGCAAGCCTCGGACCCTCGTAGATTTGAAGGAGGAAATAAGAAGAGAAGTAACCCAAGTTCCTGCACGGATGCTGGCCGACGCAATGGGCTCATTTCGGGAGAGGCTTGATTCCTGCATTTCGGCTCAAGGGCTCCATATGGCCGACATAGTTTTTAAAACGTAAATTTTGTTTTACTCAAAAAATGGTATTTCTGAGTATTTTGATGTAAATTAAATATTTTCCCATACTTATTTTGACTGTACTACTCATTTAATAACATGCGTTCTTTCTGACAGACCCTGTACTATGTTTTTGTACGTGACACGTAAATCACGAAAAACCATGTCACTCATTTTCGTTGGTCTGTTTGTCGCTCTGTCCGCCAATTTATGAACGCCTCGACAAATTGGACAGTATCTCCTGCATTATGTTGAAATTTCGACACAAGGTTACTACTATGTCAAGGACGAAAAACCTTTGTAGTTTATGACGGTCGGTAGAGCAAGGAATGCATTTCTAGACCGCAACTGATTGAAAGCACATTCAAGAAACGAGTAAATCTAAAGGTGATACTTAGACAATATAAAATTCGTGCTTAATAATAATGTAGTGAAAATTACAGAAAACAATCGGTACAGATAAAAGAGATATGCCTATCTATTGCATTACTTTTTAAGGATAGAAAGAGAACGAATAGAATTAGAGACAAATTTTTTCATTATAAAGGGCAGCCAAAGATCATTTCCGTAGATTCATTTCTTCTGTAAGTTAAGAAGTTTATAGTGATTTTTGCAAACGAATTTTGTAATTAATATCAATATAACAGAAGAAAAAACAAAGTGGTGCTATTTGAAAAAACTTCGTAAATAGTTAACTTAAATGCTACATCGTCAAATGGTTGTCAAAAAATTGATTTTGAAGAATTACGTATATATAAACTTCTGAACTGACAGAAGAAATGAATCTACGGAAATAATTTTTGTATGATGTTTAATCTAGTGTTTTTTTAGTATAAAAACTTATAAATCAAAATACAGCTTTGGGGTGAGTCAAAGATTAATAGATAGTAACTTATATTAGATATTAATTACTCGGCTTTCGAGTGCATCTCCTACTTATCTTTACTTTCCATGCCACTGTACTAGCTGGGGGAGCTAACTTGTGCCGAACATCATCCTTTATGAATTGATGACTGCGTTGCGTGGGAAGTACAGAGTCAACCTACTCGACGCCATTTTTATGTTTGTTTTCTACATTGTTAAAGTGAAATGTCCGTGTATGTTCAGTTTATATATTGTATCGATAGCTTTTGAAAAAAAGCCAAAAATAAGTATTCGCGTTATTCACAGAATCTGGGCACTTGGTTAACATGTCGCCAACATTATAGCTTCAAAAGTAGTAATGCAGCACACGGGAGATGGTGCGGTACTTGAAAATGAAAATCATTATTTATTTGATTTTGAGGATTACAAACGGTGTTTTTGCTATTTGGGGTAAGGAATATTAAATCTAAAACATGAATTATAAGGTAAACAACTCATCAATAAAAAATAGCAAGTCATATAGATTTTCAAATGATTGTTATTACATTTTTGTCAGTTTTCACTTTTTCATCACGATTACAGATAGTTTTTTAGACATTGTAACTTACCTTGAAATGCTGGGCGTGAAATCTGGACTATTGCACGGCGTAGCAGTTGGGGAAAACACGGCAGGCGTGGCAACGCAGGATGGTGTCACCGCCTTGATTCCTCGCTCATTCAACACTTTGGCCAATCCAAATGTGGTACTAAAGGTTGTGCATGAATTTCTGCGGCTTAGGACTCTTGGGGTTTGAGGTGGAGATGGTTGGACTGACGAACAGACTGATGCTACTCTACTGCCCCTAGAAAAATAATATTTATGTATCTAGGGGTTCGGTGGTTCGTAGCCCTTAGGATGAAATTCTCAAAAAACTACTTGACTAGTATGATTCAATTTTGTTGTTGTTATTTAGAAGTATGAATCCTACGGATTTGAAGAATTTCAAGTAGTTGCATGAAATTATCATCGCATTACCAACAAGAGCCAAAACCCGCATTGTGCATCGTTTTTCGGCCATAACATTTTTGCTATTAATCGCATCTTTTTACGTGTGGTCTCATTTTGTAGATCTCATAAATATCTAAAAATCTTTCTTTGTTGCGAATAAAAAGTTTTCCCACAAAAATTGGTATACCGATTTTATGCGTCCATATTTTGAATACCAACTTGAACAACTTGCAGCAAGAAAACAGGATTTTACAATTATTTCGCAAACCCCCCTGGTTACCCCTTATTTTCGTCTATGATTAGACACATATACAATGTTATCTACAACATGCTTAGTGGAGAATTTAGAGTGGTCTGTCAGAATTAAAAATAAAGTGTCCGTATTATATCACCAAAAGTGCAATGTCAAACGCACAGAGGCATAGATGCGACAGTCTGACGGGCCCTTTGAACAGTGTCTCGAACAATTTGACAACTATCCTACCAATTATCATGGGTGTACGTAGAACTTTTTCTCAAAAGGACTAGTACAAACATAAGAATGTGCTACCAAAAGTCATTGTAAAACGAGAAATAGCTCCGTCAGAAAAAATGGTGGGAATGGGTCAGCTCCCAAAACTTTTTGAAGAGTGGTAGGAGGCAAGTTTTCTCTTGGGCCGCCAAATCTTTTAGGTGCTATGGTTCTATTAGAAATTGTATGATTTACAACAAAATATGCTTTCTCAAATTGGTTACACGTTATATTAAGTAATACTAACTTTTCCATGAGAATAACGGACATCCTACCAAACTCAACGTGCCTGATTTATGAATGGGTTTCGTGTCTCGTAGTATTATGTGCCGAAAATTACTCCATCTTATGAGATGGCAACGAATACGTTAAGTCTGTGGGCTGAAAAGTAGGACCGAACGCGCGAAAATCCTATTCGTAAAGTACGCTTTTGCGCCTGGTCGTTGATAAATAAAAAACAAACATATATGGAGATGGCTCACCTCGTGCTTTGCGTGACAAAAGTGCCATCATCTGGATGCATAATAGTACTATTTGTATAGGTGTAGGTATGTACCGAACTGTCGAACATTTTTCCAGGGTTGGAATATTCCTCGTCTTCTTCCAAATCACTCAACGCGTATGATTCGAGGCCCAGTTCTTCCAATTCCTTACCAACTCTGCAGAGAAAAACAAACGAATATCATTGTAGAACGTTGTATAGGATGTTAGAGGATGATGTTAGGAAAGTTAAAATATGACTATCAGCTCAAATAAACATAGTTCAGAATACAAATTGAGTCATCACTATAATAGAATTTTTTGGTAATATCTTAGTTTTTAAGTATATTGATCTTATTCCGAATTGGTTATACTGGACGTTGGATTTTCTATTGCAGTAATACTAACTCTCCTATATTGAAAATTATTTTCTACTTTTTAGTTCAATTTGCTATTAGCTTGTAAAGCAACAAAAGTACTTGCAATCAAGATCTTAGATTGTTGGTACATTTTATAATTCAATTCGGTTTTTTTCAACTTTCAAAATTAATATAAAATTTTCAAAATTTCGAATTTTTGTTCAAAATTTCCGAATCTTCAAATTGTTTTCTAAATTTCAAATCTTTTTCCAAGATTATTGTATTGTCATCGGTCCTTGACCCCTGTGCAAATTTTCGACGTAATCAGACTTCATGAAATTGGTGAAAATTAGGTTACATACATACATATGAGGTCTGTAAATTAAGTGCTGGAACTGCGATACTGGAATAGCCTTCAGCTACATCCGATTGAATGTTTTCGACTGTGTCAAAATAAGTTCCCTTGAAGTGGTTTTTCAACTTCGGGAAGAGGAAGGGATAAAGACTCAGGTCAGGCGAATGAAGGAGGCTGAGGAGCCACGGATATGTTTTTACTGGCTAAAAACTCGTTGATATTGCTGTGTGACAAGGAAGCATTATCGTGATGCAGCACCAATTGTTCTTTATCTGATGAATGGTGGTGCGAGTTAAATGACTCTCTTCCGATCATTCTGACTGACTGACACAAGATTCCGGATTTTGTAGATATTTTCATCGGTTCTTGAAGATGAAGGCCTTCCGCTTCATGGTTCATCTTCAATCGACTCTCGCCATTATGAAAATGCCTCATACCACTGAAAAACCTGAGCTCTTGACAAAACACTATCTCCATAGGCCTGTATAGCAAGAGTTCCCATTGCACTGTGCCCAAGCCCCTGTTTTCCATCCAAGCCGGACGCCTCCAGTGTTGCCAGATCAAAAGAGCTAAATGGCCAGTCTCATCACTTAATTTGCAGACCTCGTACAGGTCAAGGTAACAAAAGCATGTTAAAAAGTATACCTAATCTTGACTCCAGGTCTTTCATCCAATATCCCTCCGAATGTAGGTTGAGCTAATTGTGACCACTGGTGCAAAGTCTGCGAGCCTTCTATTGGTTTGACGATTTGTAGCTTCTCAGGTAGCTTCCATCCGTGATGATAGCCACTGGAGCCAGTTGACATTAAGCTATCTGGCGTTCGACAGCCGAAAGGCAGGTAGCTGTCTGCTTCATACCTGCAATACCGAAAAAACTAATCAAATCCATTGATACAAAAAACCTAAAAAGACTGACGAGAGCTAAATAAACAAATCTTTGAATTTCGTTTAAGCAATTTTTGACACGATGTTGGGCCAGCAGATTCTCTAAAAGATATTCAATATTCAATTCATACGACAAGACAGTTTTATTTGATTTCATCTTATTATTATGCGCTTACCCGCCATAAGTGGGTCCATGTTGCAGGTTAGCTCTTCTAGCAAGGACCTCGCCAGGAGTTAGCCTCTTAAGAGCTGCCTCTAATTCAGTAGCACCTGGGACACCTGGCACACCTTTCTGTGGTAGACCACTGATAAAAAAAATAATTCAACATATTGGCTTGGTAACGTTCAGTTAAGTTATAGATCTGGATAACTAGACAAAAATGGACTCAGCTTTATGAAAAATTGGTATATGATGTGTGGCAATTCACTTCTAGGAATGTGTCAATAAAAGAAGAACAAGCAAATAAGTTTTGGGAAAAATTTTATCATCGATGTTCACAATAGTTTCCTTTCGAATCTACACAAATAGTTGCCTGCCTAAGAAGTTAACCCGTTTAGTAGGGATGCACCAACTGCTCGGTACTTGGCATACTCGGCCCATTTTACCGAGTACCTTGTTCCACCGAGTACTGAATGGCTCGGCCTGGTAGTTTCTCGGTCTGAACGCAAGACACACAACTTGTGTAAATCAAAGAATTGCATCTGTGAAGCGCAAAACCTAAGCTCATACACTTTTCATAGCCTTCCTGATATGTATTACAAGATACTGTTGCACCATTAAAGAAATAGCTAAGGTTACAGCATATTTTTGCTGGTTCATTTACCTGATTTGGGTCATTTTTAAGTAAATGGAGAGCGTCTTGTTCAGTACGCTAGTGTATTCACGGTATTTACTTAGCTTATTTTTTATATACAAGATGTTACTACTACACTACTACGTGTTTTCTCATTAAAGATACAGTCTATGGAGCAGCTACCATATCAGTCAAACAGAAACCACGTTGTATTTTTTGTGCAATTTTTATTTGCTCTTTCAACTTTCATATGAACACACAAAAACACAAAAAATTCAAAACAAAGTGAACAAAATGCAGCAGAAGTCAAAAAGTAACATAAACCGCGGGTATTCCGCGTTTCTATAAAGGAAACATTTACTTGGTGATAGCCAAGACATGATATCTATTCTATCTATATAAATGTAGCTTTAAAATGTTGAGCATATCCCTTTTAAATGTCTTACAAATGTGCTTTTCTACTAATAGGAAAAATGGTAAAGTATATCATACATAAAATGTTCCAAAAATGTAGTCATGAAATATGGTTCCGATCATAATTCAACTTCTGAGTTATATTGCAAAAACATACCTAGCTCAACATAAACATTTAAATACCATGAACGCACTAACCTATGAAGCTACACTTGCCAAGAAACTGTCTAAGATACACAACTTTTTTTTGCGATGAGTTAATTTCTTGGAAAATGAATCAATTTTAAGAATAAAGGGACTATAATCTTGATAGTAGATGAAATAACCCAGAGTACAACACTTCATCGAGTACCCGGCAGATTGCTCGACTGCGTACGCGGTACTCGAAATTCAAATTTGACAAGTACCCGGTATTCCGCGTTTTGAAAAAGTGGTGGTGGATCTCTACCGTTTAGCGCAATGATTGAATATCCTTGGAACTCCTTTACGCCGCCACGAAGAATGGTTTTGTGGAGAGATTTTATCTTGGCAGATAAAAAAAGTAGCAGGTAGTAATATAGGGGTTACAGAATAGGTGGGGCAGTTTTGAAAGTCATTTATCTAAAAAAAAAAAAAACACTTATACAATGAACGAGGCAGGGGTGAGAACTTTCAGCAATATCTTTACAAAAAATCTTTCGCAAATTCAAATGATCCTGTAATACCTTCTGTACGGTTTCTTTATTGATATTTAACTCGTAAATAGTTGACACCCGGCTCCATGTACAAATTGGATCTTTCAAAGCCCTCGCTGTATTTCGGTTCAGTATATAAATTGAATCACATTCCGTTGCTTATCACTTCTTTTAACGGTGCATCTACAATTGTTACATGTAAAATATACGCATTAAAAATGAACCAAATATGCTGTCGAATTCAATTTTTCAAATTTTTCAAATTTGTATTGGAGGCTGGAAGGAAGGTTCCTAATATCTAAACAGATGTTGACGAACGAATATTTCTAGTACCGCTTCCAAAATCTTAGTCGCCATAGTTCGTATAGGCGCTCCCCTTACAATTGACTGATAACTCTGATTAATTTATACGTATACGTGACGGTAGCCATTCTCATATTGTTGGGTACAAAGTTATTTATAATTATCGTGAAGAGAGAAAACAAATTCTAATAGATGACGCCACGATATTTCGGTACAACTCGGATAACTTTTTGGGCGCCCAGGGTTAGGTAATACGTTAATCAATACTGATAATCAAAATACTTACGGATACCCTTCTTCCGAATCAGTCTGACTAGAATCATAATCACTATGCCCAGTGGAATCCAAACTGGGATACCCCAGAGAGCTCCCACTATATATCGACCCTGACGATCTCCTTAGATGATCACCTCCACCTCCGGTTTGCCTTACGCTTAACCTCGGACCTCCGACCTGGCTGGTAACGTAACCTCCCATGCCGGAATGGAGGCTCGCGCAACTCTCGGCGCTGCTGAGAGAGTTCTGAGAGGCGCAGCGGACTGTTTCGAAGACTTTCTTGTACTGGGGACTGAAAAATAATACTTATGTGTATAATGATAATAAATGGCTCGTTCTGGTAATAGATGGCACTTGTGCGATCGTATTTGGGTAGACATTATAACTCGGTTAAATGATACTTTGCTCTGCTTTCGATCGGTTTCCCACCTAGATAGCAAGCCTAAGCCGAGGAGATAATTGCCCGTAAGTATGAAATAGTTGTACACGGTTGGCCCTCTGTGTTTGTACAGACGGAAACTGTATTATTAGATTTCAACGGCGAGTATACTTTCATCTACTACATCGCCAGAATCGACGGCATCAAGCGGTCACAGTGATGACCCGGCTTTCGACGTTTACAGTCGCATATAGCTACTATTCACTCTCGCAGAGGTCGATTCTCCTACTTAAAGACCAATACTTAGCCGTGCGGATGATTGCCAATAGGCATGAAACAGTTGTACATGGTTGGGCCTCTGCGCGGACGGAGCAGTATTATTAGTTTTCAGTTTTGAGTAGATCATTATCAATTATATCGAAGGCATCAAGCGGGGACAGAGGTTACTGGGTTTTAGGATCTAACTGCTCAGATACCTTTACAGATAGTCCCTATTCAATACACTGGTCAATTGTGGCAGTAGATGCCACGATAAATTATTGAAAAAAAATGAACAAAAACAGATGTACATGAAGTGCTGGGCGCTGTAAAATATGTGAACAGTAGCGGAAAAAAGTTTGGAAACAAATATTAACATTATTATGAACTATTTCATATACGTAAATTAAAATTGTGAAGGGACATATAATATACATATTAAAGTCTATTTAGCTCCCGTACATACAATATTCAAATTCTCTGCAAATAAAAACACGCGTTTTTTTTAAATACCACAGTTTTGTAACGACGAAAAAGTTTTGCCGTATTTATTCTTTCTGCGATACTCTGATATTGCGTGCGGTAAATATTAACATCAGTGAGAATAGCAAAAGTAAAAGAACATTAAAAATGGACGATATTAGTAAATATCAAGAATACGGATCAACAGCAACGCGGTCCAGGACCGAAAAAAAACCGATTATGTTTTGGATGGCTATATTAAACGTTTGTCCCATGAAGATCCTCGCATGCCAGTCACACAGATTTTCGACAGAATCGTAGAACAAGGTACCGAGAATCTTTCTACCAGAACAGTGCAGAGACGCTTGGTGGATTTTGGACTTTTTGGTAGGCGTCCAGAGCAAAAGCCTCTTATTAAGAACAAAATTATATTGCTCGGCTTGAATTCGTTAAAACTCATCTAACTTGGACAGAATACAGTTTTATGGAGTGATGAAAGCAAATTTAACTTGTTTGGATCTGACGGTACGGCCAATACGAAAAAGATTCGACAAAAAGTATCAGTCGCCAACAGTTAAGCTTGGTGGAGGCAACATCATAGTTTGGGGCTGTTTTTCTAGTTCTGGAACGGGTACAATTGTTAAAATTGTTGGAAAAATGAATCAAAAACTTTACAAAGATACTCTTAGTGAACAATAACCCTTTTGCTGAAGAAGAAATCCCTATATGATGGACATTCCAGCAAGATAATGACCCCAAACATACATCAAAATTCGTAATGGACTGGTTAAGACTAAAAAATGTTAATGTTCTTACATGGCCTTCGCAATCCCCGGACCTAAACCCTATAGAACATCCCTGGAGCATGTAAAAGATAACTGACAGGAAAAACTTTCAAAAATAGGATCGATTTATTTGATTATGTAAAAAATATTTGGCAAAATATCCCAACAGACGTCTGTAAAAAATTGGCGTCTTCTATGAGCAGCAGATGTGAGGCAGTGTTGAATGCTAAAGGCTATGCTACCAAATATCAGCTGAACAGTGTTTTTTTAAATGTTTTTGTAGAGTTTAATTTTGTAATAAAAAATATGTTTCCATACTTTCGTCGATTCATTTCCGGACAGAAAATAATATGACGGTATTTTAATGCTAGTGTTTAGTACCACAGCAAACACAAAATGTCATTTGTATCGTCAAGACTAAGCAAACTATATGAAAAAAAAATAGTCCTTAATAAAAAAGAATCAACAAATAGCTCACTTTTTAAAACATAATAAGAATGTTTCCAAACCTTTGTTCGATACTGTATATTGTAAGTTTATTGTTGTTATTCATTTATAACATGTTATAAGTTTATATGTAATCATTGCATTATTTCTTACTTACATGGGTTCAGGATTCGAAATGCCCGAATCCATGCTGAACTCCGAATGCATGGACATTTCCAACTCGCTCTGCAAACTATCAAACTGCCCCGCCGTTTTCTGACCCAACGAAGAGAACATTGATATCCTCGCCGCAGGCATTTGTTTCTTCCTCAGTTTCCTCAACTGGTCTTGAGCGTCCCTCAACAGCGCCTCAACCTCGTAATACCGCGCTTTAAACTCCGACAGTTCCACCGCGAGACTACCTTGGTTCTCTTTGGTGATTTGAAGAAGGCCCGTCATTTCTTCGTTTTCATTTACGATCTGAAAAGTCGCATTCGAAAAATAAGAAGTATAGAGAGACATTTATACGGTTGCTATTTAAAATTCATAATAAAGAGTCAAAGAGGGGGCACCAAATATGCAAGCCCGACTATGCTTTTAATCCGTTTTTTTAGTCGCTTCTACCGACCATTTAGTCCGACAATGCCCCGTTATCAAGAACTTAATTTATTATAAAACTTCTTATTGATGTTACCTTAGTTAATTTTTGCTCCGTATCCTGTAGTTTAGCCTGCAAAGCCAAAATTTGCTCATGCTGTTGCCTATTTTCATCCTTTAACCGATCAATTTCATCCTCTAGGTACCCCATACTTGAATTGGCACAAGCTGTGGAAAAAGAAATGATTCATATTTAAAAATAGTCACCTATCTAGTAACGTTTGTTTATATTAGAATATCATTGTATAATAAAAATAATTATTGAGTCAATCGTCACATGCTAGATAGCTATGTATCAAATTATAGATTTAACTTTGCTCAGTAGTTCCCGACAAATTCTTTTTTGAACATTAAAATTATCTCCTCACTGGATATTTTGGCTGTTCGTATAGTTTTTTAACTGGTCTGTATTGCGGGATATTACGAATAAAACTTAAAGAAACTAAACAAGATAACTACTTACTCAGCTGTCCAGTCAAATCTTTCAACAATCTGGCTTCTTGAGCTTCTATATCATCAGCACATGACGCTAAACGGCAATACTCCGTCTTCAAAGCATTATTTTCGTCTTCCAAAGATGCTGGAACAAGAAAAAACTCATTATTGCTTTTCTATCATTTATATGCGTCTTCATATTAAAAAAGCCAAAAAATGACTTCAATACTTCTCCACTGACAGACATGCAATTGATTAAAAATGTCAAATCTTTGACTAAGCAGCCTCTTAAGAATATCCGTAGCAATTATTCACAGCGTCTGCTAATGGCAATTGTCAATCTGACAATGCTACAAAATATAGCAAAAAGCACATCACTGATTTTTTTTAACATAAAACTAATTACAATTTTTTGATGCCGATTTTGACATACGATAACCCTATTACTATGCTTCTAAAGAAGTGGTACGCACATCACGAAACTGCCACTTTTAGTAAAATGTAAAATAATTTCAAATTTGCTTTTCTGACCTACTGCTTAAAAACAACCATCAGAATTGAGAATGTAGATGTAACTGATTTAGAATTTAAAATACGAGTGTAACTTTGCCCCAATATTATGTAGGTCAGAGGTTTGTTGATGTACGATAAACAAGTCTATGTGGAAAAGTACTGGAAGCGTGAGTACAAATCAAGAAAATTAGATAAATCACAGATATTGCTGATTGATTCTATAAAACACTTTTATTAGTGCCAAAAAATAATCATGATAGCTGAGTCTCAAAAAGATGCGAGTCGAGAATATTGACTCAGTACTCTTCGTGCATAGATATAAATCTATTTCAATTTCAGCTACACAGAAATACTTGTCCGTATAAAACTTGTTTGACCATGCCTGAAGCTATATCAAAGATGAAAAAATCCAAAATTCCAAAAACAGAAAATTTCAAAACATCAAATCCTAGTGCTTCAAAGTTATATATAGTTTCTAAACTTCAAAGTTTTAGAGTTCCAAGGTTTCAAAGTCTCAAATTTTTAAAGTACGGAAGTTCGAAAGTTGGGAAGTCTATTCAACTCACATATCCTCTTGTTGAGCAATTCTAGGTTCACCCTCCCCCCTCCTGGGCTATCCAACCCACTCTCGTCCATATCGTTAGTGAGGATCTGAATAAGTTCTGTTTTCTTGTGCACTTCATGGCTGAGCTGTGTAATTTTCTCATGAGCTGCTTTCAAATCGGTCTCCAAAGAAGCTACTGTGTTCTCTAACTTGTTGTTGTTCGCCAAGAGCTCCTTACCTATGCGAGCTGTCAGTTCTAAGTCTTTTTCTTTCTATATAAGAAATGGAGATTAAATGAAAAACATATAGAAGCCTTTCAGATAAACGAGTTCTTACTTTCCATGGGATTATGCGAGTGCTAAAACCCTCACCATTAAAGTAATGTTGATGTAATTTTTATTTAATATGAAGATCTAATAATCGTACTAGGGTAAGGTGAAAAGTTCTCGGCTCGACAACATTGCGATTTTTTATTAAAAATGATTTCATTTGTCTATCTACATAATCTCCTTCGACTACAACACCCTTGATCCATACTTTTTAACAGTTGAAATACATGGAACAAAGTATCTGTAAGTTTCTGTTAACTGGGAAAGACTTTTTTGGGGTTAATCCACCAAATACCATCCATCTTAACGAAAAACACGTAGACGTGCATTTTAAAAACAAACTATTTCAGAGAACAGGTTGAAACTTGTCTTACGAATAAATGACATGTGTACCCATGGAGATAAATTTCTGCTCATTGCAGCGTCGTGTCTATGTCAGCCGAGAACTTTTCGCCTTATCCTCGTACTCTAAAATTCATCCGTTTTGGGATTTACGATTGGCTGTTTCACAGTGTATATACTACAACTATTTAAAACTGTAATGACTCATACGCGTGATCAACACGTGATCAGAGCTCGATCCCGGCTTCCATCCAGTACAGCGTATGCGTACGACATATGTCGTTTCTGTGGCTTTGCGGTGGTCAACAGCACAGACAGAGCAAAATGGCGTTAAAGCGAACCGTACATTCATTCTTCTTTAGGAATGAGATACCAACCTCAGGCTGTACATGCAGCGATCAAGGAAAATGAAATTATACCCCAAATGAGCGTCGAGGTAATGAGGAAATCCCTGCACGAAATTAATTTTCGTTACGAAACGCGTAATCGGAAGTCAGTATTGATAGAGAGACCTGAAATAGTCGCCTGGCGTCGAAAATACCTACGCGAAATGATTGAATATAGGCGACAAAGCAGAAAAATCTATTATTTGGACGAGACATGGGTAAATGCAGGTCACACAGTTAAAAAAACCTGGATAGACAAAAACGTAGTGAGTAACCGACAAGCAAGCATTGAAGGTTTGTCAACAGGTCTTCGTGGACCGCCAGGGAAAGGTCAAAGATTGATCGTAACTCATGTTGGTAGCGATAGTGGCTTTTTAGAAGAGTGTGATTTGATTTTCGTCTCTAAGAAAGGAGGTGATTACCATGACGAAATGAATGCCAGCTGCTTCAAGAGCTGGTTTCAAGGGGTGCTTCAGCGAGTTGAGCCCAACTCAGTGATCGTCATGGATAATGCTTCCTACCATAGTCGTCGAGCCGAACGTGTACCGACTATGGGATCTCGAAAAAGTGACATGCAGCAATGGTTGCGCGAAAAAGGAATCCCGTTTGACGATTCATGTGTGAAGGCGGAACTGTACGAAACAATTAAAGATCACAAACCTGCGAACATTAGTTACGTGACTGATCAGATGGCCCGTCAATGTGGTGTCACTGTGCTGCGGTTACCGCCCTACCACTGTGAACTGAACCCAATAGAGCTCATCTGGGCTCAAGTGAAGGGTTATATTGCGCGCCATAACACGACCTTCAAATTACCAGACGTTAAGGTTTTACTTGAGACTTCCATACAGCTAGTAACGCTCGAAGCTTGGCAGAAAGCTATCCGTCATGTTGTGAAGGAAGAAACAAAAATGTGGCAGCTTGACCACCACATCGACACCATCATAGAGTCAGTTACAGTCAATTTCAACGAGGAAATCGATAGCGACAGTTTATTACTGTCAGATGTAAGTGGAAGCGACGATGAATAAAGGTAATTCAAATTTTTGACTTACAATATGTTTCAAACCACTCTTTATTAAGCATGTGAAAAATCTAGTTCACCCATGTTAAACATTCATACCCCGCCTATGAACAGCCGACTACTGGTAGTTAAGTGATGTTCACGTGAACATCGATGAGTCATTACAGTTTTAGATAGTTATAGTATATAAACAAAATGTCGTCAAGTAAGTTGACTCTGCACTTCCCACACAACGCTGTCATCAGTTCATAAAGGATTATGTTCGACCATTTGGCAAGGCTGCTGGACCACACCAGTCAAACATGTCATAAACGCCAGCCACGATACTGAAAAGTCCCAGCGCTGTCAGGCGCAAGGCAGCGTTTGGCGCATGAAAATCGCCGTTGCATCCCATCGTCCCCGCCCGCTTGACTCGTCTCTACATATTTCTCTGCAAATGTACGATGGAATCTTTGATGAGTGAAATATGTACTGACAGGTGCGTAAAATTACTAGGGTTGGAAGCGTATAATTATACTGCCGCCAACAAAATTAGATATACCTTCCCCTAAATGAAGTTTCAGCGATTTTTGAAGAGAAGGTTTTAACATTATTGGCACAGTCCAAATCTGAGCAGTAATTTCGACGTTATAATCATAATAATAAACGGCTTTATTTAAAACAAGACAACATTTTATAAATGGAGGAAGTTTAGCCTCGGCTATTCTTCCACTTAACTCTTGTAATGACATTGGATACTAGAAATTTATATACATATTCACCAAATTTAGTGTGTACCTCTTCAGAGTCATATTTTTGTTAAATAGCAGTTTTTAACCATAGACGATCCAAATATTAGCGGACAGACTGACAAACAGACACACCAACGGAAAGAAGTGGCATGGTTTTTGGTGATGTACGTCATATAACATCCAAAAGACACGATATTTCATTTTCCAAATTTTTCGTGATTACAATATTTCCTCGCCAGTATTGCGTGGGAAGTAAAAAGAAGGCGACAAGTAGATTGACTGACTTACCTCTTCAAGAAGCCTAGTAACTGCTTCTATGTCATCGTAGGTCTTTGTCATTTGGCTCACCCGATTACTACATAGAACTGAAATGATACACAATACATCAGTATATATTCGCACATTTGCACACTTAAAGATAATAAGATTGATAAATACTCTAGCAAAAGACAATAGTCACTATTCTCGATAAGATTACTAAGTACATACTACATTAAAATGGAAGACATATTGAGGTACGATGTAAAACACGTTTATTGTGTATCGCAAATGGACTAGGAATTTAGAATGAAGGATTTGATTGAGCAAATAAATTTTCCAACACAAGCAAATTTTAGTGCATGTGGAAGATTGTATATCAACTTATCAAAATCAAAACATAAAAATACTCAAGAATAAGTAAATAGGTTTAAAACTGTAGAGATTTTTTTCTTTGAACTTTGATAGATTGCTACAATATTTGCAAAAAACTCACGTTACCATAGCATATTGACTGTAGTGGAAACGCTTTCTGTATACCCATAATCCAACAGTTGTGTTCAAAATAAAAGGCTTAGTCTACACGCCAAATGAGTCAAAATAAAAAAATATTAGAATGCCATCAAAAGGAAAAGCAGTTAAATCATACGAACAAAGTACAAAACGCACAGATGTCCAAAAACATCATATTTGAGTATACATTATACCAATTTCTGAAGCGTTAATCATAATTTCCTGCTAACCATAATTACCGCATGACTAATCTACAAAAACGCTGGTTGACCATTGGCCTCACGTCACAGTAGCTGGTACGTATAAAAAAAGTCGTGAATCCACATTGAATTCAATAGTCAATTAGCGTTAATCACTGTGGTCAGATGCTGAACGGCGTTAATTCAGTGATCATTAAGACATCGTAGCGAAAAGATTTGAAATAGACAAGAGGAATCATTTTCAGGACCTCCTACGTTGAACGTGCTTATAATACAGGGGTACGACGGGATTTACCTACATACGTATACATGTCGAGATATTTTTAATACCGGAGACTACGTCCACGAAATGTGATCTGTTAACGGATGTGACAAGTTACATATACCAAGTGTTTCAAATTCGACCCTCACCATTGGGAACTGAGAAACGTAAGAGATTCGAAACCGGTTAAATGGGGGCAACGTTGCGTATTTAGGTAACTAATAAAATGCTGCGTAGGTTTCAAAATCCAAAGTACTTGCGGAGAGAGATGAAAAAAAAAACGAATTTAACTATTACTGTTTTAGTCTTTTCCAGACTTTATTAATTTGTAGTGGGATTTAAAAATAAATTGTATATTATCATTGCCACTTTTCCTCCTTTACAGATGGCATAATCATAATTTCAATATGTCGTTTCTTCTATTATTCTCCAGCATCAACTTTATTTTTGCTTATATACATTTTCAATTCGAAGTTTCTTCTTTCGATTTCCATCACCAACTTTGTTTTTCATAAGAACACTATACTGGAATTTGAAATGTACATTTAAATTGATTTTTCAGTCCCAAATTAAGCGATGTATTTCCTTAGTTAACCATAAATTTGTAGTTGGTTCGAAAATTATAATAAAATAAAAAGGTTTGACGAAACCAGAACACAAAATGAACATTTTACTAAGGTAATAACAATAATAAATATGCAGAGGTACGCTATATTGAAGTTTTGTAATTTAAATAGTACTAAGATTGTATTACTTTAATTACATAATATGTGAAGATTATCGTGACATAAATAAATGTATTATAAATAACCAAATGCATAATCAAAAATGGTATTCGATTGCGCAAAATTTCAATAGGGAGCCCATAATAAAAAAAAACAAAGGATGGAGATCGAAAGGAGAAACGTCTAATTGAGAATTTCATTACGCGCGCTTGTAGAGGAGAAAGAGTGACAATGCTAATATGTAATTAATTTTAAAATCCCATTTCAAATAAAACCAGGAAATAAATTTTTCAACAAATGCGGCATACCAAACAAATAACTATCTGATAATTTCAAGGCCTTTCTAGGAAATTCTATTTTTTTGTGGCAATGTTAGTGTAATTTATTTTGAAATCCCACTACAAATAAAGTCAGCGAATAATTGAAGGGATTTTGAAAAAAAAACAGGTTTTTCCATCTCTCTCTGGAAGTACTTTGATATCAAAACGTTCTAAGCGGCATCTTGTTAGTTGCCTAAAAACGCAACTTGGTCCCATTCAAGCCGCTTCGTATCTCTTATCGACTCCGAGATCTCAATGGTGAGGGACGAATTCTTATCAAGATTACAGAACTGTTTGCATACTTAATTACATTCAATATCCCTATTGAAACATCTCGTTAGTTCGTTCCCGTTACGATAAATCACAACGGATGCGATTTTTAATGATTCGAGTATGCTAAGTATTGATAGAAATAATGATAGCTATGCGCAGTCTTCTTTTTACATTGATCCTAAATATAGGTAAAATGCATAGAAACAGCGCGACATTCAATGGATGATTTGTTGTGCAATATACTGCCACCAAATACAATTTCATTAGCCAATAACAATATCTTCCGATTAACTGAAGTATAAATTGATACACTACGTCGCTCTGAAAACCCGGCTTAAGGCCCTAAGACATAGTGGAAAAAAATCCTGTTTACCGTTAACCAGTTATTTGAGTCTGTGTTTCAGGGTTTTCACTGTATTAGGAAAAACTAGTTATACCAAGAGAAGGCAGAGAACGTAAATAAATTAGAGAGAGATGAGAGTTGAAACCAAACAAAAGAGGAATATCAGCTTGAAATAAAAAAATTTGCTGTAGAAAAAATGAGCTCAAAGTCAATGGAGTCGACCGGGGTGTTATAAAGACATTCCACGAAGTGTTTCTCTTGATATAATTACTCTTTGGTACTACTATTCAAAATCAATAGGCCGTAGTTGACAATGTGTGGTTAAACTATTACAGTAGGAATTATACGGTAAGTTGGTACTTTTATTTTGAATAGGGATCCAACGGTACCGATATGTATGTATATCGGCATATCGACAATATCGGTCTATATACCGATATAGTATACGAATCAGCCGATAAGACTGACAATATACCAATCTAGGCCAAACGAATCAAACTAAAAGATAATAAGGATCAGAATCATTGAAGTGAGAATAAAAAATATACAAATACTCTATATTCTTATTAAAAGTATCAATCTAACCTCATTTCTGTTTTTTTAATTTATAATTAAACCACAAAGCATTTTAGGGAGTATTGTTACTGTAAACCTCTGTTTTTTTAATTGCTTATAATTTACTTATCGTTTAAAGATGTTTATTATGGTGAATGATCTTAAATCTTAAAGCTGTAAGATGTAAGCGCATTCACCATTTGATAAACATATACAAAGTGACATATAGCACCCAGTTTAAATGGTTTTATTTTAATAAAATTTTGTATAAGTTCTTAATGAAGCATAATAAGTAAATGATAAAAATTCAAAATGATTGCACTGCTTTAAAGCCCTTTGACAATCTCCTACCCATCATATCCCACACGTGCTCAATTGGGGATAAGTCGGGAGATCTTGGTGGCCATGGTAACAATGTGACATCATTATGTTGAAAGAAGTATATTGTGACTCTTGCAACATGTGGTCGGGCATTATCTTGTTGGAAAGTTGGATCTGCCAGGGTGTCAAGATAGGGTAAAAGATGGGGTTCTAGAACTTCGTGGATATAACGCTGAGCGTTCATGTTACCTCTGATGAAGATTAAAGGTGACCTGGAACCATAAGCTATAGCACCCCGAACCATAACTTAAACAGTGTGATGAATATGTCTTTCAACAAAAAACTTCCGATTTCTCCTTTCACCACGTCGCCTTCTAACCCTGGCACGACCATCGTGCATGCCTAAACAAAATCGAGACTCGTCACTAAAGACCGTTCCATTCCTGATCCCAGAGTGACCATTGTCTGCACCACTCAAGGCGATTACGTCGGTGTTCTCGAGTTAAAGGAGGACCCAGTGTGGCCGGTATGAAAACAAGCCAAAACTTCTCATTCGTCGGTAAACACTTCGCATGCCAATAGGTCTTCCGTGTTCTGCAAACCATTCATTTGCAATGGACCTGGTAGTGGAGAAACGGTCCCTTAAGGCCAATAATCTTAGGCGGCGATCTTCACGGTCTGTTGTTCTACGGCGGCGTCCAGTGCCCCTTGCTCTTTGCGTACGGCCTTCTCGAAGCTATGCCTGACAACACCTAACCACAGTGTCTACACTTCTTTGCACTCTAACTGCAATTGCCCGAAAAAGAAAGTCCAGCTTCCCGAAGTCCCACTATACGGCCCCTATCAAACTCACTAAGTTGACGAAATCGTACAGGTCTCCGTACTCTAGGCATCGTAACCGATCGTAAAGGATGTCAAGAACCAAAATCCGCCAACGTTGATTCTTTACTGCGGCTGAAATATTCATTTTTAGAGCGTTAGTGAATTAAAAAAAAGCAGTATAAAAACCGGAATGTCCAACTGATAAGGCTGAAAATTTTTTCACTTGTTATTTACAGTAAGATAAATACATTCACCAACTTTTATTAAAATAAAACCATTTAAACTGGGTGTTCGGATTTATATGTCACTTAGTATAATTGACATTCATTTATAAGCAATTAAAAACCAACGCTTACTGAAACAGTGGATCATAAAATTCTTTGGGATCTTGTTAATGGGTGAAGGATATCTATAAACTTTTACAACATAAAAATGTTAATCAGTAATATAGCTTTTGTTCATCCGACCACAGACGGCCAACCATGGACAGCTGTTTCGTGCTATTTGGCAACTCTTCAGCATAGTGTAGGCTTGATCTCGCTTAACAACGAACGAAAGCTGAGCAACTCTACTCTATTCAGAGTATAAGGTCTATCGAAATAAGACAGCACGAAGTGCCATCTATCACCAGAATCGACCACTGTGAAAGTGAAAACAGCAAGCTGTCTGATGGAACTGTATGCCAGTTTGCAATGTCAGCGGATCACTACTGTGGCCGCTAGACGCCGCCGATTATGGTACTGTAGTATACGAGGGGATACCAAAAAAACCGAAATGATTTTTTAAAAGCTATTTACTTTCAACTTTTTCACAAAGTAACCTGATCTCCTTCAAGATACTGTCCACTACAACTAATACACTTGTCCCACCGGTGCTTCCACTGCTCGAAAGATTTTGCCCCTGTCCCTTTTCATCAGTGGAAATAAGAAAAAGTCGTACGGAGCAAGATCAGGCAAATAAGGTGCGTGAGGCAGCGGAACCATGCCATTTTTAGCCAGAAACTGTCGAATAGAGATGGCTGTGTGCGCAGGTGCATTATCGTGGTGAAAGGACCAGTCTCCTGACTGCCACAAATCGGGTCTTTGTTACCGAACAATGTTTCACAATCGTCTTAAAAACTCCAAATAGCACAAGCTCTCGAGTTTTTTCAACATTTTCGTCGTAATTCCTCAAAACGGGATCACATTTCCCTTTTTTTCGGAAGGCAGTATTCATTCGTTACATTAAATTTCAACCAAAAACATTAATACTCAAATACTATCGGCAACCCCTAACCATTCGTTTCATTTTCATAGTATGATGTACGAGTATATTCTCTGACTCAGTGAGTCGTTACAATAGGCAACACAATACTCTTGTCAGCCGGTCGGTAATAGTAGCGTTCAAATGAACGATTCCGAACTAACGACTCGCTGAAGAGAGATGAACGAAATGAGCGAGCTCAGACAAAAGAGTCGCATGTCTCAAGCATAATTATTGGAGTCTTGTACATTTAAATGGACTTTTCAGTCCTAAATTTAGTGAGGTATATTATTTAGTCATGAATTTGGTATATAAAAATATAAAACGGTATAGTGAATCCTGAGCACAAAATGCTGATTTTATTGACGGTACTAACAATGATAATTATTAATAAGCAGAGGTAAATCATAGCAGATATTCAAAATGTTGTTCGTTGTTTTGTACATTGTTCACTGTTCGATTTATTTCTCTTCTAAGTGTTCCAAACTATGTTGCTATGTTCAACTTGAGGTGTAGTCTGGTATACAAAACATATGAAAAATGATAATTCCAAGTATACATTTTTGAAAACCAGAATTAAAAAATTGTATTTATCCGCGCACATATACAATAAGGCGACCATGGAAAAAATAAAGTTATTGCCGGAGGACAGCAGACGAAACCTCATATTGAAATTCTAATTATGCCATCTTGTAGAGGAGAAAAATCGGCAATGTTAACATGCAAATTATTTTGGAATCGTACTTCAAATAAAGTCAGGAAAAAATAAATGTGATTTTGGGATAAATCTGGTAGGTGAGACAAACGACTATCTGATAATTTCAAGGCTTACCTAGGAATTTCTGCTTTTTTTTAATAATTAACACTTTAACTACTATGTGTACAAAAAATGATACACATCTAACTTTTATGGATAAACTATGTGCCCATATGTGGTCACAGGCATGGGCTAGGTTTGATCCGTTATGTATGTTATGTGGTCACGCTTATCATTGAAATGAATGCATGTTCTATATAGTATAGTTTATGACGAAAGATTGGCCAAATAGTTTTACCCTTAATTCATAGATGGAAGCACCAAGCTGTATAGTAATTTAGTCGTAACGTGTACGTATTGTTTACACGTTTTGGTCGTATGTCGTAGTTGTTTCTTCTGCTCATCGTGCTCGGTTGCATTCTTGAATGCAAAATGGGTGATAGGGCTTTAACCAATAAGGAGTTGGAGGGAATAATTAATAATATGAGCGATTGTGAATACGAATCGGACGTCGATGACTCAGTGGGTGATCCAGACTTCGAGAATTTCAGTTCATCAGAAAGTACCGATAGTGAATTCGATGCTGGCACTGCAAGAAAAAGAAAGTAGCTAGAAATTTGTGTGGAAGCAAATGCAAATGTCGGGGCTATAGACACTCCTGTTGACAGTGAAGTGAATTTGTCTGAAAGCAGCGAGAGTAGCTCAGATGAGTGCAGCCCCAACAGAGATGTAAGTGGATCACATGAAGTTCGAGTTATCTGGAATGATTGTTCAGGTAAAATAAAGTAAATTAGGATTTATTGCGATGCTACAAAGTATTTTTCTCTTCAGGAAATTTGAAGGATCATCCGTTCAATGCCAACCCAGGATTCTCTGCAGAGTTTTTTGCGAAAAGAAGCTGAGATGAGCCTTTAGACTTTTATAAGCTTTTCTTGGCCGATATCATACCTATGATAGTTCAAGAAACAAACCGCTATGCGACACAAAAAATTATATCATGCATAGCAAATGAAACTATCCAAAAAAATTCACTATTAACTCACTGGAAAGATACTAATGAGTCTGAAATAGTAGCATTCATAGGAATGCTAATTTGGATGGGACTAGACAAAAAGCCGACACTGAAAGATTACTTTTCGCGCAATATACTATACAAAAATGATTTGGGAAAATACATTGGAATGTCAAGAATGCGGTTTGAATTGCTTCTATCAAATTTGCATTTTTCAGATAATGAGACAACAGATCGTACGAATCGCATATACAAAATTCAACCATTAGCAGACGGTCTCGTTACTAATTTTCAAGCTGCATGTATTCCCAAAAAAGACGTATGTATTGACGAAACAATGATTCCATTCAGAGGCCGGCTTAGCTTTCGTCAATACATACCGGGTAAACGACATAAATACGGAGTAAAAATTTTCAAACTGTGTGCGGAGAAAGGTTATACATACAACTTAAAAGTATATTCAGGCAAGGAGGACAACCCGACTTCACAGTCGGTTGCTAGTCGCGTAGTTCTCGAACTTATGGAGCCTCTCTTAGATTGCGGACGTCTACTATGCACAGACAACTTTTATGCTAGCGTTAGCCTCGCACACGAACTTTTGGATAGAAAGACACACCTTATTGGGACTCTGAGAAAAAATAGGAAATTTAATCCAAAGCCAATTACAGATGCAAAACTGGAAAAAGGGGACTTGATTGTACGTGAGAGTAATACCCATGTGATAGTGGGAAAATGGAGAGACAAAAGACAGGTCTTATTTTTGACGACCGAAGCAGTGCCTGAAATGACTGACGTACAAACAAAACGAGGTGTTGTAAAAAAACCATCTACTATTGCAAAGTATAATAGTATCAAGTCTTTTATAGATGTGTCTGACCAAAAGGCTTCCTACTCGACTACTGTTCGACGCGGAATAAAATGGTATAGAAAGGTGGCCATAGAAATACTCACAAATACTGCAGTTGTGAATGCTCACATAGCATATCAATTTTTTATCTAAAAAAACTATAAATATAACCAAGTTCAGGGAGGAGCTTGTAAACAAACTTTTCAATGAGAGGCATAATATTATAGATATTCCATCTGAAGGGATCTCTAGGAATCACAAAATCATCGAGATAACATCAAGGGGTAGATGTACCAGATGTTACAAAGCTAATAGTGAAAGAAATGGTCGAGCCTATGCAATGGCAAACACTCCTAGGATTAAAATGCATTGTCAGGGGTGTGAACACAAATTTTTATGTATGAAATGCTTTTTCGACACTCACAACTGCAGTTTACGTAAATGAGAAATGTGGTCATGCATGATATACATACTTTAAGGTGATCAAGCTGTATTTTTTTTTTATATAGACTGTGTGTACTGTACCTGGACACAGTCAAAAAAATATTTTTTTGTGGAAAAACTTGTTGTTTTCATTCTGTTTGTATACTTAAATATATCAAAATATATTTTTTGAGAAAAAAGTGTACCAGTTTCTGTTGAGTCATGTATCACCAGCATGCGTAGTAGTCAAAGTGTTAAGGTTTGGCGACGGTATTATACATTTTTGGAATCAGAATTAAGAACTCTATTTATCTGCGCTAAAATTCAATGTCGGGTATAAGAAAAAATAAAGTTAATGCTGGAGGCAAAGAAGAACTGTTATATTGAAATTCTAATTATGTCATCTTGTAGAGCAATGTCAATGTGCAATTTATTTTGAAATCCCACTACAAATAAGTCAGGAAGCAATTAAAACGATTTTCGGAAACATCTCTTATGAAGTACTTTGAGAGAGAAACTTTCTAAGCCTCATTTTGTTGATTACCTAAATACGCAACTTTGCCCCCATTTAAGCGACCTGTATAACTCTTACAGTTTCCAAGATCTCAATGGTGGTCGATAGCGTGGGGTGCTTGATATATTAAAATGTTAGAATCATTCTATTGGCAACTATCTATGGAAGGAGAGTTAATAAATGTAGTTAAATGCACCCCACGCTTTTTACTGTGAATTGAATTATTCTGTTAATATCTTAGATTTTATTATAATTTTATTTTGAGGTCATTAATTATGATTGATTGTTCGACCATCTACTATACATACAGACCAAGCTAATATATAAGCGTGTTAAAAACCTAAAAAATGTAAAAAAAAAAACCGACGAAATGGCATCTTGCAGACAGGTAGTTTTTGGTGTGCAAATAGTTCATTCCACGATTGCTCGCTATAAATCGGTGTTCGCTGACGTTTAAGCATCTCCTACAGCTACAAAACGAGTTCACAACAAGTGTACAACAGCTTGTAGAAAAACCTACGAAATGTAAAAAAAACCGACGAAATGTCACTTTTCACGATACGTAACACCCGTGCCGGCTGACAATGCGAATTGGCATACAGTTCCAACAGACAGCTTCCTGTTTTAACATTCGCAGTGGTCGATTCTGGTGATAGATGGCACTTTGTGCTGTCTTATATCGATAAAAATATTAGATCTTTCATCTTGTTTTTTTAGATCGATCATTTTCAAATATAAAACCACTTGTATCTCGAAAAGTACAGTTTCTACCAAAAAAAAAGAAAGACATTTTTGAATTCAGCGCATCAAAAATACTCAAATTAAGTTCTTTCTCTCTTTCTCTCGCACTAAAATGGCTTGTGGGCTGTGTCATGTACAGAAAAAGTTGAATGGCCGATAACATCGACATATCTGCCCTAGAAAAATCGGTATTGGCAAAAATCATGTACTATTCGATATCTAATTTTGAATAATTTAATACTTACGAAAATAGTTGAGCGTTTCACGGATCTGGTCCGGCGATAGTTTGAGATCTGCCTCGTCCACTTGTAACGCTGGTGCTGGAATGAACCAATCCTGATTCTCGTAGCCTGAAATCAACAATAATGGTACCATAAGCTATTCCATTCATTCATAAGCAATCTTTAACGAGTATTTTAATGTACAGGAACCTTTATGCAGACTAAGCGTCGCGACCATCCTTAAGGTTAACCGATTTCAAGGCATTACAGGTGAGACAGAGGAAAATAGTATTCCCGACCGCCGACCGAAGGAACACAGGTAATACGCCTAAACTGCAGCGAACTCGGTCTGTAATAACCTTTTTTCTCTGGATTTGAAAGTTTTACATGACATGTATGTTCACGTTATTGTGGTATCAAAAACAAAGCGAATTAGAAAAGAAAGTACTCTGTACTTGCAATTGCGATACACCATCCCCCTCGCACCTAAAACCCTGATATCTCATTTTTTTACTCCTAAATATTTTTCAAAAATGATCAGGATCCCTGAAACGTCAAAAAACTAAGTTTGGCGATTTTTATTTTATTTTTAAAGGCATTTCTCTCCGCCACCACTGGACCAATTTTAAAAAACTACAAAGCTTTTTCGGGCTTGGCATAGTAGTAATCTTGTGTAAAAATTCCATCGAAATTCAAACAGTATTTTCCAAATTATAGATGGGCCAACTATTTTTTGAAAAACTGGCAGACAAACCGACGGAAATAAGTAACATCGTTTTTCATTTTCGAAATTCTTCGCATACAGTGACGTAGGAAGTAAAACGGATATATTCAGCTATTAAAAACCCAACTTTCGTGTCCATTTGTAACATTCAAAAAACTCATTTTGTCTCTGACTCTCAGGATTAAGTTGGAGAAGTTTTAACCTTTTATCCTTCAGATATTCGTTTCCACTAAGCCGTTGCTGAAAGAATCACGTCTAAGGAAAATAGATAATCGTCTCGGAATATTTGAAATCATTACCTGTAACATGTTCATCTCCCTCCACAGAATAACCTCTCCACAACGAGACAAACGAATTCCACATGATCCCGAACAATAAACAATTTATTCAAACTTCACAACCACCGAATATCATCTACACCATAACCACTATCGGACACAGCATTCTAAAATCTATTTTGAACCAAGAGAACTTCAAGTACTTTGCTTTCTGTAAATCTATGCATTTCAGGTGCAGTAACTCGTGATCCTCTGCGTCGACAAATTCAATTATCGCTGCGTTGGTTGTAAATTACTTCAAACGAACAGCCTCGTAACAAAGTTATTCAGGGATGGTTGCGTAATTATTATAATATATTTTGGAGAATATTTTCTAGAGAGTATTACATCAAAGTTCCACGTTATATCTCAAATTATGCGTCACGTTACTTTATAAATGTTTAACGTTGTTATCACCGCTTGGGAACGCAATAATCTGGTACTGTTTAATGCTTCCACAGTACTGTGCCTTGACTAACAAGAAGCGCCCTAGAACCATCCGGTTTCGATCGACGGCCGAGTACTAAAAAGAGCAGTTTCACATCTCGTCATTCGCAACAGCTGCTGCTAAAAAGCTAGGTTATTTGTTCCTCCTCACTCTATACAAGGCCCAGATAAGATGTAACCTCGACCACTGCTCACATGCATGGTGTGTGGCCTCCCCGACTACATTGCCCATACTCGGTGCTGTTCAAGGGAGGGCTGCTCGACTGATTAATGGCATTTCTCTAATGGACAATCTCGGAACTGCTTCATGATGCCGCCGCGCGTTGAGCCTGCCAGACGGACCCGACAAGCTTCTGCCTCCCATCAGAACGAACATCGCATATCGAGAAGTAGCCGGTGCGACCGCTACTTCGTTTCTAGGGCTTTTCTCAGTTCTACTACCCAGTCGGTTCAATAATCGGATTAACACGGCATCGTTAAGATCCTTATAGCAGTCGCGGTGCCCCGGTATTTAGGTTTATGCCCAAGCGACTGATTCAGTATAAAAAATCATATCGTGTTCTGGGACCCAAAATTATCAAATATACTGTTTCATTTCATTGTAACAACGGGAGGCAAAAATGCAAATTTTACCCGTCAGTCTTATATTTTGGAGTTTCCTATGAGGAATTTTCAGAAACCACTGAAAATCTGGTTCGGGCAACCTCATTTTCTAGTTAAATTGGGTGGGCATCCCTCGTCCCATATCACTTTGGTTTTACGACTTTTTGTAGGTCATACTCGTATTCAGCCTCCCAAAACACCCGGATGTACCAACGTTCATTTGCTTGTAAGAACAGGAAACCCGAATGTGAATATTTTCAAAAGCCGTACGTATTTGTGATCTGGGCAAAGATTCGGACCTACGCTTATCAAGTAACATTTCGTTGTAACAGCGGAAAATAAAAAAGGATTTTTTACGAAGTTCGACAGTGTTAGGATGCAATGTTGAAGTCTGGCGAGCCTATCTAGCAAGCTCAACAAGCGGCGGCATCATGAAAGAGAGCTCTGGGGAGTGAAGACAAAGAGATAGAAGATCTGGAGCAAGCTCCACTGCACATTTCTTCGGTACAATAGCAACCCTATGTTAATTTGATGATAGTACCCGCGGGCTGTACCTCAAATTCTACTCCACGACGACTTTAACGTTTTTTTGATGATCATATTCGCATTCAGAGTTACAGTATAGCCGCGTACAGACCGAAAATCTAGCGCCGAGCAAACGAATGCAAGCACAAGTGACGTTGACGCTTGTTGTTGGAAGGTATTGGAATGCACTCGTCTACACCTAAATTTAGTTTCGAGTTGGACCGCGTTGGGTTAAGTTCGGTGCTAATGTCGAGCGACGATTATCCTCTCATCGAATGCAGACAAACGACTAATAGTCTAATCGTATTAGACAAAAATACCCCTGGTTTGCGAAATAATTGTAAAGTCTGGTTTTATTGCTGCAAGTAGTTCAAGGGGGTATTCAAATCATGGGCGCATAAAATGAGTACAATTTTTTTGGGAAAACTTTTTATTCGACAACAAAGAATGAGAAAACGTGTTTTTTTTGGGATTCAATCGAAAGTGTTGGCAGGAACGAAAAAACTCTTCAAATAAGATTTTTAGGTATTTATGAAACCTATAAAATGAGACCCCCGTAAAAAGATTCGACTAATAGCAAAAAAGTTATGGCCTAAAACCGAGGCAAACTGCAAGTTTTGGCACTTGGTAATGCGACG